AATAGAAAAAAAATTGAGTTTGAATGGGGTGGTAAATGTACTCAAAACAATGCTACAATTTACAGCATCTTTAGACTTACCTTTCACCTATTTAGATAAAACTCCATCTTCTGCTGAGTGTTCAACCCACTGTTTCGCTCCAACTCATCAGGATGATGTGCATAGTGCTCTAAAAAGTCCCAAAGGTCCACAGCTGTCAACAGGGGTGTCACTGTTCCTGGGCAAATATTTTGGAAATTAACAAGGGTTCTCGAGATAGTTCTAATGAAAGAGGTTGCAATTAGCTATGACCAAAGGGGAGCAAGAATGCTATACGCTCTGAGATATATTAAACAGTTTTAAACAGTGAGAAATTATCCCATGTCCCAGCAGACATTCAAGTGTGTGAAAACCCATTTTACTTATCTGAACTTACAAACCTTATTTTGCATTTGAGCACACAGCATCTCTTACAAAAATCTTAATATAACTTCTTCAGCAATGCAAATATTGTGCAAATCAAGGGAAGGTGATATTTTATTTTGTTCTGAACTTTGAAAGGAGTTGTTCACTATTTTGGAAAAATCACACCACTCAGAGCAGTTTTCCTCATGGATTCTGTAGTCTACAATATAATCAATACGATATAATGTTTCCACCAAGCCTCTAACTTCACTTTGTTTGCTTATGCCTGGTGCCCATTTATATGTTGAAATATACAATATTTTATTTTAAATTGTGTTCTCTGTATTCCTGCTCTATATCACAGTCAAAGCATTATGTTCATTATATTGATTTGCTTGATTTTTGAAATTACGTATTTAAATTAGCAGTCAATTTTTGTTAGTCAGCAATCATAGTGGAAACATTTTAGACTCTGGGCTCCAAACAGTCCTTGTTACAATTATTCAACTTTTTCCTTCTTATGGGAAGGCATCCATAGAAAATATGTAAACAAATAGACGTAACTATATGCCAACTACACTTTATTTATAGATACTAAAATTGGAATTTAATATAATTTTCCCAAATCACAAGATGATATTATTCTTTGATTTCTTTTAACCATTTAAAAGATTTGAAATTATTCTTACCTCTTGGGTCATACAAAAATTGGCAGTGGGCCATATTTGGCTAGGAGGCACTACTTTGCTAATCTTTATTGTAAATTGTTATATTCAAGCTTTTACACAGTGAAGTGTGTATTATTATAAATTGCATTTCTTTTATTGCTCCTTTATGTATTTATTTTTTAAAACGTTTTGGTACTGGGAATTGAACCCAGGGCCTTCTGCTTGACTAGGTAAGGGCTCTACTACTGAGTTATATCCCCAACCTGTTAAGTTTTTGAAATGATGTTTGTAAACACTGTATATAAAAAGTTGGGCACTGGGTGCAGGGGCACACTACTGTAATTCCAGCTACTGGGGAGGCTGAGGCAAGATTGCACATTGAAGTTCAGCCTGGGCAACTTAGCAAGACTCTGTCTCATAATAAAATATAAAAAGGTGTTATGGTATAGATGTGGAGCCCCCGCCTCCCCCCGCAAAAAAAGCTCACATGTGAGACAAGGCAAGAAGGTTTGGAGGAGAAATGATTGGGTTATAGCCTTAACCTAATAAGTGAATTAATCTCTAATGGGATTAACTGAGTGGTAACTGAAGGCAGGTGGGGGGTGGCTGAAGGAAGTAGTTCACTGGGGATATGGCTATGCGGTGTATATTTTGTATTTGGAGAATGGAGTCTCTCTCTGCTCTCTAATCATCATGTGAGCTTGTTCCCTCTGCCACTCTCTTCCACCATGACGTTCTGTCTCACCTACAAGCCCCAAAGAATAGAGCTGGTCTTCTATGGACTAAGACCTCTGAAAACATATGCCCTCAAATCAATTTTTCTCTCCCAAACTTGTTCTGGTCAGATCTTTTAGTCACGGCAGTGAAAAAGCTGACTAAAACACAGAAGGATTTGGGATGTAACTCAGTGTCACGCATCCCTGGGCTCAATCCCTAGCACCACAAAAAATAGAATAAAAATTTTGAAGCAATATGGTAATAGTCTTATATAAAACAAAGATGTTTTAGTTCTGAGTGGATCCTTATTTGAATAATGAAATATATGCAAGAGAAGGCGGCTTCCTTAACTGGCTCTGAGAATCTAGAAAGAAAACTGTATTTATTATTCGAATTGTTCAATGACAGGCAACAGTCCAGTTTGGATACAAGTTGATGCATTTTGATAAAACTCAGAAGTTCCTGTCTGTGATAAGGAAAACCAGTCCCGGTTTATCTCTGAAGCAAAGTGATGGTCAAAGTTCAGTCTTTTAGGTTGTTAAAAAGTATATCTTTGCCAGACTGTGGACATGCTCTATAACTTTCAAGTTTACTGAGATATCAAAGTTTAGTTTTGATGGTTTCTTTTTTTGGAGGGGGGGTGTTGTAGATTGTACTGTCTGTGAATTATATTTAGTTTGGGTCAAGTGTTGTAGGGGACAGACGAAGCAGGGTGCTGAAGATAGCAGGAAACAGTTTTATTTGGCTGCAGCCAGGTTTAGAGGGTACAGCTTTCGCTGTAATCAATTAATCCTCTTAACCCTGAGTTCAGGTAGTTTCAGAAATTTATACCCAGCATGTAAGGAGAGGGGCTCAGAAGTTCACAGTCTGCAGAAGTTCACACAAAAGCAGCTTTTTCTTTCCTGATTTGGGCAAGTTAACCCTTCAAGGACAACACCTGAGAAGGGGAGAGCTTCTTCTCCCTCTTTTCCCCCTCCCCCTGCCAGCTGTTACCATGAAGCCTAATTAGTAACTTCTCTTATCTTAGAAATGTAGACATCTTTGTGAAGATCCAGCTGAAGGCCAGAGGCCTTGTTAAAGGATTTGACTTTTTTTTTTTTTAATCACAATTTGTATTTGCAAACACACTTCTACAGACTACTATACTGGATAAATGTTTGTGAAAAACTAGTAAAAGGGCATTCAGCATCTGGAGTACTGATAATTTCCAGACCAGTGGCCAAGTAAAATAGAGAAATAAGAAAATAGGAAGTTTACCTACATTGAACTCTTTTGTAGAGACTCTTTTGCTGATGGTCCTAAAATCAATTGTGGTAAAGATTTCTGGAGAAGCTTAGTTAAGATTTTCTGTGGAGGAGGAGATGCCACGACACAAGTATTACAAAGGATTTCATAAAATGGTCAGTCGGTGTGAGTGAATTATGTAACTTCTGATGTCATATATTTCTATTTCTAAGCCTTCGGGGATCCCCTCTTGCTCTGATGGCAATGACCCTCCAATGTACTGTTGTGGAAAGAGAGGGTGGATCATGCAGTGCCAAGACCCAGAGAAAAATCTGAACCCTTGCTGAGGTCTAACCCATTTCTCTCTAACCAAGACAAAGATCCTTTATTCACCGACTTGGTGAACTCTGCAACCATGCAACTTTTGATCTGCTTTCTCCACTTTGTCAGGCTTGAAGGGCTGCTGCTGACTGATATCAAATCTCCTTGTCTTTCCCTGTTGCTATAAATTCAAAACGTTTCTATTGAATCTTCCACTGGGCTTCCTGGCTGGACAGAATCTTTCCAAGCTCTGTTGTGAGGGCACTTCCCACCTTGGCCAGCTGCCCCAGAGCAGGTGCACCAGCTTTCAACTTAGCTGTCTTCAGGGTCTTCCTCAAGGGCAATAGAAACACTTGAACTCTATCCACAGCAGGTGGGAGGACAGAGTACTGGGAAACTCAATGTACTTTCTATTACATAGATTTCTGCTGCACATCTTCAATGATGATAGCATCCCAGGTCATTAAGTAGGTTTCTGAAGTCCCCTAACCCCACTGGCAATTCCAGAAAGAGTGGACTTCTCTTTTACTCAACCTTATCCACAAAGTGTGGTTCAACCACAGAGCTACAAACTGCAGAGGTCTTATTGTCATACACAGAAAAAAAAAATCTCTACTGTACGCTATGGAAAGACCCCTGGAGCTCAGCAACACTAGCTCATCTGCAACCTGAAGCAATTGAGCAAATCCTGTCTCCATACAAAGCCCTGTGTTCAACCTATTGCCTTCTAACGCAGAATGTTGAGTATTACAGCCATGGCTGTGAAGTGGGAGGCTGCAAAGAAATGATTTAAAGAAGAAAATGAAAGTGTAAGTTTAGCATTTACTGTCTACAAGCTAAATTGCAGGAATGATTGAATCTACCTTAGTTTATACCAAGGTGACTGAGAAATGAAATATGAATGCGTTTTAATAAATAAAGGGATAAACCTAAGTTCATGTGTCACCACCTATATTTTGGAGAATATATATATCTGAATATATGCACATGTATATTAGATAGATAGATAGATATAAAATTGGGAAAGTTTAATTTTCCCAATTCACCTGCCACCTGTTATAACTTCAAAGATTATTCGGAGGTCATGTCAGTATGACCTCACAGATCCCTATAATATTTTCCAGTATCTTGAGTCTTCCACCCTTTCTCCCATGGTTATTTATATTCTTGTTTTTGTTTTCTTGGGACTTGAGGAAAGCTGAATGTTTTACTCTGTAGCCTTCTAGCTTGGCTCCTTCAACAAACTCCCAATCTCTGCAAACTCAGGGTTTCTATGCACATTCAGGGTTCTGGCCTGGCAGTAGGATGCAGTCCACCTCTGACCCTCTGGTCCAGTAGGGTAATGTGTGTGTGCATGTGTGTGCATGCACGTGTGTGTTTGCATGTGTGTATATATGTGTAGGGAAAGGGAGAAGATAACAGTCAAGAGAAATAGAAGGGGACTTAAATTACTGTCTTTTTCATTTTCACTAAAATTTTGAGTACTTTTTATGAAAATCTATAAAGATATATTTAGATGTTAATAAAATATTTGAAGAAAAGGGAGAAGGAGTATTATTGATATAGTGCAGTTTGGGGGTAGGAGAGGGTTATTTCATGGACATTTACCCTTCCTTTTGGGCCATCCAGGATACAGTACTTCTGAACTATCATCTTAGTCTCTCCTCTCTTTTGCTTTTTCTTTAGCTCAACAGAATTCACCAAAAATCCATGAAGGCTGGTGGGCATACAAGGAGGTGGTCCAGGGAAGCTTTGTTCCAGGTAAATGTACATTTATTATTATTTGTTTTAAAAAATAATTCTGTTCTTAGACTTCTTTATGAAGTTGGAAATGTTAAGTATCCTGACTTGAGAATTCTGCATTGTAGACAGGTATAGAATGATCACCCTGTATCCATAAATATGTACCATTAATGGAATAATTTTAAAATGATTTTTAAAGAATTTTGAGGAAAGCAACTGGTATTTCCAGAATTTTTACTTGATACATGGCATGAAATATATTATTTAAGGCAGCATAGTCTAACCTATATGTTGGATGCAGACTCCCTCAAAGGAAAGTTTAATCAGTGAGTGGCAACTTCATCACAACACATGATTTTACATCTGAGCCTACAGTTCTCAGGTCCTTCTATGGACAGAGAATGGAGGCCTGAGGGCTGAAGCTCTGGCTGCTGGCATTTGGTTCAGTGAGGATGGACGGTTTCTTAACAGTAATGAAACAGGAAATAGGAAAAGGCTGACCATGGCAAAGACGCTTGCTGGGATACCTGCTGTCACTGATGTCACTTCAGCAGCACCCACGGTCAGGAGTCAGCAGGCTGGGCCAAGCACCAGCTAAAAATAACAGCACACTGGATGCCGTCAGCATGGAGACAGAGGACACGAACCAAAGACTGGTTAGAGCCACAAGCATCACATTTCTTTAGTTTCAAAGCAAGCTAGAAGGTCCTTGTTTTCCCCCATTTCTTTCACCCTCAATGTGCTCCTCATCCTTCTGCTGCTGTTGAGTCTCTAGTGGTAAAAGAGACCAGGGAGAGAGGAAGAATATTGAAGGGAAGATGGAGGGGAAGATGATAGAGCTTTCAAGAGGAGTCAATGTGTGGTCCCCACTCAGGGAATAGAGGACCAGTGGTGTCACTTGAAGGTTCTATGGTTGGTGGCAGGTAGAAAAAAGCAGTGACCCAAGTAACCTGGTACATTCTTGGCTGCTATGTTTTGTTTTGTTATTTATTTTCTATTTTTTCAGTAGTGTCTTTATGTGAACTGTGCAGAGATAAGCAAGTTACCCAACTCCTCTGAGCATCTCTTTTCTCATTTGCATTGTGGGGCGATAATAGGCATTCTTCAGGGATGGCAAGGGAGAGGGGACGACCCAGGAAAAAGCCAGCTGGTTGCCAAATAGCCTCAGAAACCAACATTATTAATTTTATAAAATTACAATGTCTCACCTGTTCTTTGGCTCCAGGGTACATAGAAACTGGACTTGGTTAATTCACGTAGGAATGACCAGGTTTCTAATAATCTTCTAATAGTTTTTTAAAATTTTAAAATTTTATAATAATTTAATTGACACAAGCTATGTTCATGTTAAATGGTATCCATATGGCACTTGACACTTATAATTAGGAGTATCCCTTTATAACAGAATCTTTATTTTTTTTCCTCTGGGGAATCTGCTTTTCAAATTCAGGATATCCCAGAGATTACATTTATAATTACATTCTTGTATTTTGTGAATATGGAATTAAAAGAACAAAGAGGATTCCCTCCAGGTTATAGTAAGTCTTACTAAGTTCCTTCTCCCCCCACAGAAAACATCCCTGGCAGTGACAGACATACCCATGAACAGCAGCGGACGTTCGCTGCAACATCTTGCTTTTCTGCTTACATTGTTTTTAATGGTTTTCCCTCTGTTGTCATATTCTTTCTTTATATATGTTCAAAGGCTTGATTTTGAGTTGGTTGTTGCTTCTCACAGAATCACAGGAAAGAATTTTCATCTTTCCTTTAGATGTTGATTTAAAAGAGTGTGAGTTTCCCTCATTTCCAGCTGAGCCCTGGCTGGCCTATCAGTTGTGATGAGAGATTTCAGCAAAGTTTATAGTGAAGAGACACATATGAGCTCTGTCGCAAAAGCAAGTGCAAGGTTAATTTGACTGCAGAATACCCCACTCTGGTCAGTTCAGTAGCATTTAAGGAGGACTTACCTAGAGCCAAGCACTGACTTGGGTGCTAATAAAGAGGTAACTGATTCATGATTCTTACTCAAGGCGAACACAGAATCTAAAACATGCCATAAACCCATGACTCATGGTAACCTGGGTCTTTACAACATGTGAAGTATCACAATTGTGCCTTCCTAATGTTTAACAGAACTTCTTGTTTACCTGATCAAATAACTACCTTCATCTGAACCTCACCCACAACCAGGATCCTTGCAGGTAAAGCTCAGGTTTTGTTTGACTATTCAATCTCCATGTGCTCAGGGAAGGAGCCTGTTCTTAGGACCAGAGGGTTAATATCTATGTGAACCACGGATTTCCTTCTTTTTCTTGTTAATGATTGGTTTAGACATTTGCATCACTAATATTGGGGGGTCCATTTGGCTAAGCCGTCATGCCCAGATATTTGGTCAAATGTGTCTGGATGTTGCTGTGAAGATGTGTTTCTTTAGATGAGAATAACTTTTAGATTGGTAGATTTTGAGTAAAGAAAATTGCCCTGAATAATGTAGGTGGGCCTTCAACCAAGTAATTGAAGCCCTTAAGAGAAAAAGACTGAGGTCCTCAGAGAATGAGAGAATTATGACTCCCAAAGCTCTTGGTCTCTACATGCAACATCAACTCTTCCCTGCAGGATTTGGATCTGTAAGGTCCAAACTCATGTGAGCCAATCCTCCCTTCTTCCGTCTCTTCCCCTACTCATACTGTTGGTTCTGTTTCTCTGCAGAACTGACTAATATAGACATGAACATGTGACAGGCAGCTCCATCTGTGACATAGTGTGAGAAAAAGTCTGTTGGATAAACTAGGGCTCAAAAGCCACACTAAAGATGGAAGGGTGGAAAGATGGAAGCAACCCACATTGTTGGTTTTATCTTCTTTTTGTTTTTTATGAGACAAGGTCTTTCTGAGTTACCAAGGCTAGTCTTGAACTCCTGGGCTCAAGTGATCCTCCTGCCTGAGCCTGCCAAGTTTCTGGGACTATAGTGGGTGCCACTGTGCCTGGTTAAGAACCCATATCTTTTATGGTTCATTTGAGAGATGAATTAACCATGGGACTGATTTTTGTTCAGTGAGAATAACAAACTTTTTATTGTTCAGGCCACACCATTTCAGGCTTTCTGTTGCTTACAGCCCAAAGCATTCTTCCAGATTCAAGTATCTCAGTACAAAGCTAAGGAAGGAAGGAAGTTGGAACTGGATCTTGATAATGTTCAGGATTGCTCAAAGTGGACACAGAGGAGAAGGTGAGGAATATCAGACTGCACAGTCAAAGAGGAGTGAAAATACATGTTGACTCTGGGGAGCTTGGACACTTCTAAATGCTAAAAGAAAAACAGGACCAACAAGAGAGGATCATGAGCGAGGAGCCAGCAAGGGTTGGTAGGAGGCAGGTTAAGAGACTCTTTGTGTTCAGTGTTTAGGAGTTTAGACATCTTTCTTCTGAAAATAAGGGATTCCTGAGCTCTGCAGAGAGACAAAAGAGATGTATGTTCTAATGCTAGCTGTTGTCACAGTGATGGGGATATACGGTATTCCAAAAAGGATAACAGGCAGAAACATTAATAAGGTGGATTTTTGTTTGATTTTGCTTTGTTTTGTTTTGTTTTGTTGGTCTAGGTAAGGGATGACACACTTCTAAATTAACACTATAAAAGCAAAGAATATTGAGTTGATCGTGTTTTTGAAGAATTAGCACAATACTTTGTTTACTAGCATTTCAAGTATATCTATAAAATAATGAAGTATGGATATCTATATGGATATATACATACACATATTTTTATATATATACACACATATTATATATGTATATACATACATATATATATATATATATATATATATATATATAACATGTATATAGCACATTTATAATTTAGCATAAACACACATTTAACACATTTCAGGAAAATTTGTGCCAAATATTGTCTCTTCACATTATATTTATCCATGACAGTAGGAACATTGGGTGTTGGTCTTAAAAGAGATGCTATGCTAAGAACTGAGATTGAAAAAAAAAAAAAAAAATGACATCTAACTTCTTGGAGCTTACAGACCAGGGGGCCCATCAGTTGCTAAACACCAAGCAGCCCCTTATCACCCCCATAATAATAAGTGTGATAATAAGTGTGCTTTGTGTGGCAATGTTTGAAAGGGAAGTTTCCATCCTCCTTTTCAGACAGGAACAACAGAATTGTGGGCTTGCTTCCCTTTTGTAACATTGGATCCTAAAACCCTTGGGGTGTGTATTTTTGTCAGTGTCATGAAGTTCAGAGCAGAAGGGAGCCTCACTTAGATTCTTCCACCTCTAAAGCACCACACCCAGGCCACTGAACCCGATCTCATCAGCTCATTTATCCAGCAAGCTCTCCCTGAGCACCTGCTTTCAGAATGGCCATACTAGATCCTGAGTCCCAGTGGAGATTTCACTATGGTCTCCAAGAGCTGAGAACTGTGAGAAGAAGCTGAGAAATGTCTAGTATCTTACAGTGTTTCCAAGGCTGTCGTGGAGAGAGTTTGGAGCTACCAAGTCTGAGATGGCAAGGAGGGCATCCAGATGAGGTAATGCCCTGAGGGCTAGTCAGATTCTGCTGGAGAGAAAAAGGCAAAGTGGTGTTTCAGAAAGAGAAGCAAGATGGACAAAGGCCTGGAAGCAGGTGACACACTAAGCCAGGAGAGCTCAGGGAACAAGGCCTAGGACAGCAGCAAGGATCTGATCACAGAGTGCTATACCAGCTGGGAGTCTGGATTGTATTCTAAAGGCACTGCGAAGCCAAGGGAGGTACTGAAACTACCGCAGAATGCAGACAATCCAAGAGGGTGATGTGGACTAAGATAGGAGCAGTGAGGACTCCAAGGAGGGTCCAGACTTTGGTGACAGGGACCTCATCTTCTACCTACCTCCCTCTCCAGAATATAGTCAAGAAACAGAGGCTCAATGTTTGCTAAATTTATTTGGGTCCACACAGACAGGAATCTTTGACCCTTAAAAGAAAAAGAAACAACAGTCCGATTCAGGAGATAGCTGCTCCT